GTGTGCCTCTAGGAGATCTTTTACAGCTAGTTCGAAAGCCTCCGTTTTTTCGGGGGACTGCTTTCTCTTGTGCTAGGCGACCGCCTTGCGGGTAGGGTCTATGGTCAGGTGATGGCATGCAATCTTTGGGTCCAATCCGGGCATCTCAGCTGCACTACAGGCAAATAGCTGAGCATTTTCCCTCAAGCAAGCTTTAACTTGCCTCTTCGCCAAGTTAGGGAGGTCAGCTCCGATCTTTACACTTTGGTGGGATCGTTCCCGAGGGGGATGATCTTGAAGTCTCCTTCAAGGATGGATCGTGCGGGATCTGAGAGTTCCTCTCTATTTATAGTTAGGGATGAACTTCGCCTTCAACCGTGGGCTTTTTCCATTTCTTCCTCTGATATGCGCAATCCTCCTTGGAGAAGCGGCTGTCGAGGTTGATGGCGTCGACCCTTGGTAGTGGCTTGGCCTCCTTAGAGCTGGAGGGAAGTGTGGCCCCAGTGGTCGTTCGGGTTGAGTGTTGATGGAGCTCAGGCCCCTGGTTGAGGCTTCAAAACATCTTCTTGCCGCCTGGACGTCCCCGTGGAGGGTGGCAACCAAACCCTTTACGGTGTAGTACTTCATTTTGAGTTGCACAGTGGAGGGAATCGTGATCAGTTCGGTCTTGAAGATACATTGGTAGAGAGACAGGCAATCCACTACCAGAAACTGAGTCTTGATGGCCCTGGAGGTTACCCCTCTTCTCAAGGTGACGATCAGCTTGACATACCCCCAGGGTTTGGTACTGGCCCCGTTGAAGCCCTAGAGGTCTGAACCCACGTATGGGGTCAGGTGGCTTTTGTTCAGCCATAGGATAGCGAACATCTGGGTGTACATGATGTCTACCGAGCTCCCTTGATCGACCAGTATGTGTTGAACATCAAAGTTCGTCATGCAAGCTCTCACGAGCAGTGGGATAGTCGAGTTGAGGGCTCCGCCCAACAATTCCTCCCTGTAGAAAGCGAGGGGATGAGAGCTTCCTCGGAATTTATCCAGCGTGGCATCCATGTCAAAGTTGGCTTTGATAAGTTGCTCGAACCTTCTTTTTACGGATCCCACTGTATGCTTGTTGAATCCCTCGCCGAAGATGACCATCACAACGAGGAATGACTCCCAAGTACTGTGAGAGGAGAATTACAATGGGACGTTCTCCATGTCTAGGAAGTAGAAATCTTTTGGTCGCGAGATACTCATGGCGACCGGTATAGTGTTGATGTCGGGGGACTCCTTCCCCTTTTCGAAGCTTTTGGTTTTTGGAGCCTCCTCGTGAGCACTCTCTTTCTTCTTGTACTGCTTGAGGTTCCCGTCTCAAATTAGTATCTCAACCGCATCCTTGAGATGGATGCAATCGTAGGTGTTATGACCACGACTTTTTTGGAACCTATAGTATTTACTCTTGTTGGTCCGGTCTTGGTAGGCGTTTGTCGGGGAAAGCGCATCCCGGCCTGTTTGAATTCAGAGTTGGCGCATTCGAACAGAATATGTTCCCTTGAAGTGGTCAGAGGTGTGTAGTCGTGAAAATGACCAGCAGTCCCCTTATAATCTTTAGAGTCTCGGGATATGTCCTCCCGCTTCTTTTCTCCCCCCCCCCCTGGCGGGCCGTCGAGGGCTCGTCGCTTCTTGAGGATTTGACACTTTCTCGGTGCCTTGACTCCATGGAATTGTTGGCGGCTTCTTTCTCCTCGTATTGAATGTACGCTTGAGCCTTGAGGAGGAGGGAGTCAAGCGTGGCTGGTGATTCAATGCCCACTGCTTTTGCAAAGTCGCTACGGGGATGGAGCCCACATTCAAGAAGGTACTTCTTCATGGTGTCGGTCGTGGAGACTTGTACTGCTTCTTTGTTGAAGCGCTTGATATATGCCCGCATAGACTCATCTCTGCCCTAGATAATCGCTTCAAGTGAAGCCTCTGATTTTGGATGTCGATGGGAGGCAGTGATGTGCCTTGAGAACATCCTCCCCAGCTGTTTCCACGAGGTAATAGACTCATCTGGGAGGCTTTTGTACCAAGATATGGCTCATTTCCTTAGGGTGGTAGGGAACAGTCTTCACTTGATGGCGCCCCTGACCCCTCGATAGTCGGGGAGGGTGTTGATATTCTCTATGTATTCATTAAGATCAGTCGTATCGTCATACGTTCCCAGCGGGGGTGGATTTTTCAGGCCGATTGGGAGCTGGGTCTCTGTAATCTCTCTTGATAATGGGCCGTGGGGCTCATTATTATCGCTTTCCTCGGGGGATGAAGGTGGGGAGTGATAGTTCCTTCCCCTTCAGGCAATATTTTCTCGTCAAGGGGAAAGGCTCCTTCGGTGTTGTCTTGGTTTGGGCAACGGTGATCGGTCGCGGTTAACTTGGCGGTTGTTATTCTTCCTCTTGGAAGATGGAGAGCTTTGATCTTTCTAGGGAGGTGTGTGGTTGGGTTTCTTGAAGAAAGAAACATCGTGCTTCTCCCTTCTTGGCAGACGGCCACGTCTAGGTGGGGATATGATGGGGGAATTATGTTGTCGGTGTTTCTGAGGATGAGACTTTGACTGCTTCTTCTCCCAGGCCCCTATCTTCTTGCTCTGCTCCAGGATAAGAGCATCAGTCTGGTTGAGGGCAGCGAGCAATACTGTAATGGCCGGGTCGGTATTATGAGGAATGGAAGCTAGTTGCAGAATCTCCAGCAATTCCTCGATAGGGTTCTTGGGACGCCGCTCGTCCAAGAACTGATGGTCGTCACACTGGGCATCGATAGAATATGGGGGGCACAATCTGGCTGTCGTGGAAGCTGAGTTATCCTCGAGGTGAGGATGTTCTTGATTTCTGTCGGTCTTATGCGCTAGGGAGAGCATAATCTTTCCAGATAGGTGGTGATCATCACGGTCGGCCATGATTGATGAATGAGGAGGATCTTTAGTCTTCAGATTCTGAGGAACAGAAAACGGGGAAGATAGTTTCCCATAGTCGAGGCCACTAATCTTACTGGTGGATCAGAACCTGCAAGGTGGCCGGATGATGACCTTCGAACTGGATGGAAAGTCGTGGAGGAAAAATGAGGGTTGTACCTGCAAGGCACTCTGAAGATCAAGTAAGTGTGGGAGCAAAAGAGATACAAACAAAGTGTTAGGGTTTTAGTGATGAATAATGGATATTCGATACCTGGCTTTCACATGTGTGAGGGTTTATATAATGTCCCCAACGCTTGGCCATTGGTCCCTATTTTTGGGCCTAGATATGTGGGTCTGCAAAAATAAGTAATTGCAAGACTCGGTCAAAATGGACAGGTGTGTTTGTAACTAGACGTTGGATCCGAGGAGAAGGCGAATTAAGGGCAGATGGTCGTTCTGGATGTTTCCTGGTCGTCTGCTCGACTTGTGTCGAGCTGATGCGAGATAACTGCTGACTGAGTCAGGCGTGCGTGTCAGGCATCGTTGGTCGCATGCCCAGGGGCGTGGTCGACCAGGATGTTGAGCCACTGTTGTTGGGCCGTGTCAAGAGTGGAAGCGGATTGGGCCAATTCTAACATTGGGCCAATCCAGAACACAATTCAACCAAACATGCAAGTCAATCTAAAAATGTCAAAAATTCATGTTAATGCACGTGTCAGCAAAAGTCTACAAAAAATAGGACAGAGCAGAGAAGACATATTAGAGGACGTAGGTCTAAAATCTTAATTTGTTCCTGTGAAAAAGTATGGACAAAACTGGTATCTTCGACGGACCGAACCCGTTTTTCAACCCTTACTTAACATCCAAACTTAGGGATGTCAAACAGACATGCGGACTCCGTTTAGGTCCACCCTACAAAAGCCCGCAAAAATGGGGTAGGGTAGGACAAACATATTTAAGGGTACAAGCTTTAAAGTTTGGTCGGTCTCAGAAAAAAAATGAGGGTGGGACACGTCAGACCCACGTGTATTACACTTTTAAAGCCTAAAATTAAAATAAAAAAAGTTTACGCCTATAAAAGCTTGAAAAAAATTGAACGAAGTTAACCTAACAAATTAGAGGATGCAAACCTTAAAACCTTGGCGGATCCTGCCAAAATATGAGGACAAAATGAGCATGCTCCATAAGTCGGACCTATTTCCAAGAGATTTTACCTGAAATTTTAAAATTTCTAGAATTTTACCAAAAATTTTAAAATCTCCGAGTAATTTTACCTAAAATTTTCAAAATTTTACCATAAATTTTAAATTTCCCAAAATTAATTATAACTTACCGAAAATTTCAAATAAGTTACCAAAAATTTTATACATATAGAAAATTTTCACTAATAAAAATTTGTTCAGAAAGTATAATTTAGAGGGTGACAAATTAAATCCTCCATTAGTTTGATATGTCACCTTTATCACGAATTTAAACTTTGATGAGTGTCATGTCTAGTTAAGGGTTGAAGCTTTGTTCTTTATTATATGATAATAAATGATTTGGTGTTAAGGACTTCTTCTCAAAAGATTAATGACTATTTTTTGTGACAACCTTTTTCTTCCATAAAATGAGATAAATGTTTATTATAAATTATCTATCCAAACAAGATTTATTTCTTCAAATTTGCTGTTTTTGCAATTTTGCAATTTAGATGTGTACCAAATACTCATTTGGTTAGCTAACTTTTCAGTCGAACTGGGCAATCTAATCCAATTTCTAAATCTATGATTAAGAAAAAGCAAACAGAAACTATAGTATCAACCCTGTCATCTTATACACAGGAAAGAGTAAGACCACTACCCAAATAAAAATTACACGGTTATGTCTGTCTCTGCATTATATATAAATTCATGGATTTGATATTTGTTGCATCTAACTACAACCGAAGCACTCGGCATTCTCCAACAATGGTATGCCCTATGCCCTAGGGCAACAATTCATTAAAACTATAGATTTACCTAAAACAGCAAAAAAATCATGGTCCAAAAATGTCTTTTTTTTTACAACATGTCTGATATTATGGATTTGGAATTAGGTCCAACAGATAACTAAGACTCCTTCAAAAATATTAGAAAGTCCTCGAATATTTTCTAATCTCATACATGATTGATGATATGGAAACAAGATCCTTGTTCAATGCAGACCCACCAGGGATCCTCTTGATAGAATCCGAGAGTCTTGTATAGTACAGCAACAATTGGGTCAATGCAGCTCTTAAGATTTCCATACCACACAAGAAGTTACTGAAAGACGTGATGACATCTTTGTGCATCAGCTCTATCGCCGCCTTCCACCTACTTGCAAAATCCTTCACTAGTGGCTCCACTTCCGCAATTGTTATAGGTTTATCAGGACTCGCAGTTGGGTCCTCAGCTGATAAATTTCATGCAATCAAGCCCATATTTTAACAAATATAAAACGTAAATCAGAAGCTACATTGGTGTCATCTTTTCTATACTTACAGGCTTTGGCCTTAACAAACTTGATTAAATCATTAAAATGCTCTTGGAGCAGTTCCTCCTGCAAGGATTGAAAACCAAAACCGTAAAGACAGTTGCAATTGCAATTAAAACTGAGAGGGTAAACTAATTATCCGTTATACCACAAAATTAGTCAATGGATTACACTAACCCGTCTTCTTTATGAAAACTGTATAAGTTCACACTTCACATTTACAATTGTCCTAGGTTCTTTCCTTTAGAAGGAGGTCACAGTTCCGATTTATGTGGTTTTCACGTTAATAGTTTGTTATCAACAAGTGATATCTTAAGTTCCCCCCTATCTTGAGTCCAATTTCTAATTCATTTCCTTCAGATTATGATCGGCAGTACTAAAATTTCCTAATAGAGGTTTGGTCTTAAATATGACAATCAAAAGGCAAGTCAGAAACTAAAGTTAGACTAGGGCAACATCTTTCACTATTTCTTAACCAAGAATATGAAGAACTAGCAACTGAAAAAGTTTGTTCTGGTATATTTCGTGTACACAGTTAAAACACAAACTTTAATTTGCAAAGATACCGGGTAAGAAAGGATTGAACGCAAATACCACAAATAACGCTGTATTGCTCTTTAGTAGTTCCTCAAAGTGCATTTGAATTTTGCCAGCTTCGGGACCTGCTTCCTGGAATCAAGCATGTGAGAAAAATTTAAGTTACCCTGGATATTCTAAATTGATAGAGCCCGTGAATTTTGACATAAATCACGCAAACAATTTGAAACGGAGTTTTGACCAAGTACTTTCTAGGTGCAGATATATAGCTTTACAAAATAAATGAAGAGCCAACTTGCAGATTCCTACCTTCAGAACAGCAATTGTCATATCATAATTGTTAATAAGAAACACCGTCTGTAGTTTTGATTTTGTGAAGTTCTTGGCAAGCTTGATAAGTAAATCATCAATGGCCATTCTAAGTCGTTCCAGATTCAAGTCAAGCTGCAATTAATAAACAGATTAATTGTATTAGAAATTTACACAAAAGGAGTTGATGATTGATAGGCTTATCATACTTGCCTGACCATCTCCAAACTCGGAGTTTAAGTGAATAAGCGAAGCAGTAAACTCAGCATAACGCCTCATCACATAATGTGGATGAACGTCATCTTCCCACAATGTCCTCACACTTGCATTTCGCAAACTGTAGAGGTGCATGTCAAATACCATCTTAAACCGAGGCCATAGAGAAATATTGACCTGCCAAATCAATGAATTAGCTTCAAATATGACTCGAGAGGCCCATTGACTCCATATTATCGGCTAGTTTTATCCATTTTCGTCATTGAACAGTAGAAGGATTTCATAAATGGCAGTAAATAAAATATATTGGAACGAATGAGGGAAATGTAAGAGAACTGAGATTGTATATCACAAGACTTCAGACCCGGGCCAATAGAGTCCCATTATCTAGAAAGTCTTGTCAGGGAAATGTAGGATCCTAGTCATCTACGAATTCCTTGTGTAGAACAGAGGGTGAACATTGAAAGGACTTGAGGGTGATGTTTCAAGTGTGAGGAAAAATTTAATCCCCTTGCCAATGCTCTAATAAAAAGTTAAAGTTAGTTTTATTGGGTGAAAAATGAAACTCGTAATGAGGAAGGAGAAGGAATGGTTTTTGAATTTGATAGCCAAAATGAGGAGAGATTTTTGGGTGTCAAACACTGCGGCTATATGGAGCTAATTATGAAGTAAGGAGAACCGAGTAGCAGATGCTTATTCACTAGTCATGGTGATGAAGTGTTAAAAACTATTCTTTCTTCACCTAGCTGCTAGCTGGCTGCAGGGAACCATCACTAACTCGCTGCTAGCTGCTCCCAATCTTTGAGGGATTCTAATTATGTTTTCCATGTATGTATATGATTGTACAGATTCCTTGTATGATATAGACAATCATTCAGATTATTCAATCATTTCAAACTGATTTAAGTTCTAGATAAACAGTTGAATAGTTTTCTAACCAACACCCCAGTGACTTCAATGTATAACTGTCTAAACTCAGAACATTACAAGAATTGTTAGGGCTACTTGTGAGCAGGGGAGTTTTACTCGTATACGAGAATAATATCAGAATCTACCAGAACTAAACACACGGTCAAGAAAAAACTAATCTTGTCTATGAGTAATGCGTTGCCCAGGAAACTGACCTTGTCTAAATAAGAATCTAAGCATGGAATCCGCCTCCGAGACATAATGAGCTGAAATAAATAAGTTTATCAGTTTCAAATTGTTTAAAGGGTAAAACATTTGTAAATGCACAAATCTTTGCCAACATTCAAATTACTGTTTGGTTTTAACTTTTAACTGAAACATGATATGCAGATTGGAACTTATTTGAATTCTAACTGTGCAACGAAATCTGTATGTGTTAATGTTAGACCTTATTCGAAATGTGTATAAGAGGAAAGGGAAAATCTGATTATATCAGTTATGGAAAAGTATTGAAAATTACTGCTAATTATGGGACAGGTACTTTATGGGACAGTGACGGCTAGTTATGGGGGTTACTGCTGTGAGCAATAATTAGTTATGTATTTATATATTTCTATTCAGTTGTGAGTGGTGTGTAATAACAAAAAGTAAAGAAATTGAATAGGGGCAGATCATCTTAAAAATTCAGAGTGGAATTCGGAAAGGGAGGGTTCCAACTTCCAAGGCTCTCGAACTCCGCAGAACCGTGTCCTCGTACTTCTTTTCTTTCTTGTGTTTCCTTGTTTACTTGTATAACTATGTATTTCTCTGTGAGGCTGTTTTCCTCCAGAGATTTTCCACAAAAATCAGTGGTTATTCATGTAACTATCTAGTTTGGTACCAGTTTTATCAGGTATATTATTCAATTAGTCGGTAATTGTTTCCCAAGAAATGGTTTGTATCCCAAAACCAACGAGTAGATTTTCAGTGGAATTCCAGGAGGGTGGCTAAGATTCGGATTCTTGGAATAACATGATAGGATTGTTGAAAATCACTCATTGGTATTACACCTTTAGGCCATAATAATACAATTAGCATCAATGTGATGTTTACTTTGATGTGTTGTCCATCTTACTGAAGACTGGAATCAGTCATACAAGTTAGAACGGAATCAGTCATACAAGTTAGAACTTTACCTGATGCTGGTGTATTATACGAATCATAAGCATTAGACCTATAGCATCATAGCAATTTGGAAGTATTGTATTGAAATGCTCATCCATGACACCAAAAGGACCTGAATATACCAAAAAGCATATCAGCTGTCTCTGGAAATGAAAAGATTAACACAGGAAATGATACAGTGGTGTTTGTTTATTTACCAAAAAGGGAAATGTTTTCTTTGCTGAAAATGGCTTTTGTTACCATTTAATTATTTATTATATTAAATGCAACGGTTATTTATTTGAGCACTAAAAAAGATATGTGCAAACATTAAAGACTTCATCCTTAATTTATGATCTATACAAATTAAGTTTGAATTGTCAATTCTACAAATATCTTTATCAAGCACCTATTTCAATAGTGTTTCCAAATGTTCTGTAACATCATAATACTTTTCATGTTAGCATATTACAAAATTTGCAATTTACATAGTAGCAATCTATGTGATGTTAAAGTTAACTAAGTTTATTTTATATATCAATAGGCTAAGAAAATTCTTCCTGTTAACAATCTGTTAGACAATGACTGCAAACGCATCACAAAATTTAAAACTCCATAATAGATACCTGAAAAAATTTCATAAAACATATGTTGTTCCCCAAAAAATTCATCACAGAAATTATATCTGCAGATGAAAGGAAATAATGTCAACATGCATTTAACTAGAGATTTATGCACATTAGAATTTTGTAATGCAATATTAAGTAGCATAGCAAACTGGAGAGTACTCTGAAGTAGCTGTATCCATAAGCAGCTTCTGCAAGCTCCTAAACAGAACCTCATAAGGATGTTTGATAGAGCTGGCTTCAGCTATATGAGGAATCAATGCTGGTTCATCAATTTCCTGAGATGAATTTATGTCAAATCTAAGGCAAACTACCCAATGACTGTAAAATCTCTGCAGATCACAACCATCTAACGGTGTACACATTTCAATTGAACTTGGCTCCTCTTAAGTGAAGAGTGTAAAAATAATCGTCAATCGAAGAATCAACAGTTGAATGAACAAATAATACACAATTATAATCCTTGTCTTGACTAACCTTCACTACTCAAAAAGAACAACTGACACCAATGATATTAAATACATGGACTCCTAGATCAGTTTAGTTAGATTTAGAAAACAAGAAAAATCTGTAGGCCTTTCCCTTTTCCTAGGTCGAGTCATACCTTTAATATATTAATCCTATCACCAAGAGCAAAAACAGCAGAACGATTCTTTAGTGGTTCCCATGCTCTAGCAAAAAGACCACCGCTTCTTGTCTCTACACCAATTAAATCATTGGATGTTGCTATATCCAGTTGCAGTTTCTCCAATGCTTGTATATAAGCACGAAAATGAGCACTGAGAACCTGCAGATATACAGGAGCCTTTTGTCACTCACACCTCACTTTAAGTTTCATTTAGGTAAAAAATGCATTTTTAGCATGGGCTTTCTTCTATATTGAATGTACACTTAGGCCGAATGTATAATCATACAAAACGAGCCTTTTGTCAATAGTTTATAGTAAGCTTGACTTCCTTTGAAATAGTAAACTTTGTTTTGAAAAAAGCTTTGCTGACATATGTGCTGAGATGCTGATGTGGAGTTTATTTAACTTTGAGAAAGATGTTATCAATCAAGAAATGTACAAAAAACAGTGAAAAGTAAACAAATTTTTTCTTCTCCTCATAGCATTGTTAATCTGAAGGATAACATTTTGATCAGCAAATATCTTGACGGAAGACTCTGATTTTAGCAGTTACCTTATTCATTGTATCAATATAAGCTGCACGAATTTCATTATATACTTCCTTGCCATGTTCCTTGAGGAAGTTCACAACATACCTACACTTTTGCATGTCTATTTGTTAGATTCATAAAGCACACAAAGTTAACAAAATCAACAAAATGCTTTCACAATTTAAAGGCTAGCGGTTAAAGCAAAGGAGGTATAGAATGTTAAACGACAGATCCTTCTCTAGTTCTCCTGTTGGCAGATTAGATGCTAACTATGACAACTATAATATTTACAGATAAGAAATCCTTCAATAGTAGTTCAATAACTAAATTCTACAGATCAAGAGATCTGTTTGTAAGCACGGTTTTTGATGATTTAGCTACAGCTTTACATTGAAGGCTCAATACAAACAAAGTTATTGAACATAACTGTGAATTACTAAGTGTAGTAATACTCAAGAGAGATGGTGTTACGAACCACACTACTTTTTAAAAAAAAATGTATATTGAAAAAACTCAACACATGTGTTTTGCCTGTTATCAAGCAAATAAAATTATGTGCTAGCGGAACTTATCAATTGGAAATTCAGAATATATAGCTTATCAATCCATCAACCCATCATATTCTAGAGATTAACTAAAGAAACTCACTTGTACTTTAAAAGGACACTTTGCTGAAGTATTTGGATATTTGTTTTGGGTTTTCTCAATGCATAGAGTTTCTGAACAATGAAGTCAAACACCTGCAGATGGATGGATAACAATAATATAAATACTTGTTTATCTTATAAACAGCTCCCAGAATAGAATAAAACTTCTGAACGAAATTATAAAAGAAAATAAAATGTCATACTAATACTATAGGTGCAGACAACCTTTGAGACTGCTTTCTGCCGAAGTTTTTCAAGCTCAGGCTGAACATCTTTTAGAGCTTTTGAAGCTTTAACCATTGTGTCCACTTCTACAAACTTCAGTTTTTTACTCAGAATCTCAAGAGTTCTCAAGTATTCCTCATTGACCTGAAAAATATCCAAAGACACAATCTTAGATAAAAAGGGACCAGTGTTTATAATGTTGCTGCATGTAGACTCCAAACCTTCCCAACACCAGCACCGATAAATATTTGTTATGCATGACTATTTTCAAACATAAGTTGAAAAGCCAGAGTCGTTAAAAAACATATATTAGGAATTCAAGATCAGACCCTTGTTTCAAAGCCTGAGAAAAGCTGATGAAAATGTAGAAGATAAGATCCAAACAATACTCTTCAAATTTAGACTTGGGGCCTAACTCGACCCCACAAAACTAACTTGTAAACTGAGGAATGAATAACCCATATAAACACTACCTAGGCCATATCTCAAGTCGGTGTGGGACTCTCAATAAATACTACTAAGTGTTAAATGTGTTTTTCGCACAACCAACAAAAGTAATTAATAAAACATTATTGGAGAGGGAAGAAGTAGATTATAGAAAAAGCATAATACCTCTCCATCAATAATGATGTCCACCATCCTTGGAGGGATAATTATGTCTTCCACAAACTTAGCCAGCTTGGATTCAGCCACCTTTTGGGAGAAAAAACAAGACAGAAAGACATAATCTAATTAGGTTCGGTGGGGTTGCAGAGGAAAATATTCTAGACTGAACAAGTGATAGTGAAACTGATACGCCCCTATCCAAAATTGAAAAGAAATCCAACAATTTAATAAACTCTAATGGATTAACCTAATTGTCAAAATGTAAACAGTTTTTCGGTGCAATCTGCTTCCAAGATCAAATTGACAGCTACATAATACTAAGAAAACGCCAAAAGGTGCTACACTTTAAGAATGTCTTAGAAATCTTAGTTTGTTTGTATAAAATGGTCATACCTTGCGATTCTTAAGCCTCAAACCCATATCCATAGACTTCTCCTGTAGAATTTTAATGTCCGAACTTATGGAACCAATCTCAGCCTGATAAATAAAATCAAGAGTTTGTGATTTACATTAAAAATCAACAAAGAAACTGAATTTAATGTTGTCTGGTAAGTCGTTCAAACTATTGAATAAACTGTAATTGTAACATTTGAGAGATATATACACCCTCAGAGAATATAAATAGGCACTTCATTACTGTAAGGCGAAAGAGTTGTTAAAATCGTGGTGCCAATCCAAATGTAAAATACTTGCATTATTTGTGTTGTCATAATATAGGGAAAACACACTTAGCAACATTTTTAAATGATACTAATTAACTAAGAACTGATTGGTTGGTTCTGCTTTATATTAGTATAGGTACTCATAAATGAAAGTTTTTTCAAATTGCTCAAAGGGCCAACATACCTGAAATCCACTTAGCAGAGTTTCCATATGTGACAAGATATTATCACAATCTCGAATTTGATCATGAAGAGAGACTAGATTATCACTTTCTTTAATGTAATCCTGTAATAAATGGAACAGTCAATTGATTAGTGTATTTTCAGCAACAATTGACAAAAGCAAGATTAGTGCTAGGAACAACATGACATGACAAACAAAATTTCATGATAAAGCGGAAGAGGTTCTTTCAGAATACTCACTACATTAAGGGCAACAGGCAAATCCAAAGCATTAAAAAATTGTCGATTTAGAAATTTCATATAATCAAATTTTTACATAATAGCTTAGTGACCACAAATCATAGATAGATAACATTCTCCTAAAAGTCAGAGACAAGGTTATTGCCAACCTTATGCATAAAGGATAGAGAGATTCAGGAAAAACAAGGCTACATGTAAGATCAGTACTACAACCAGACGGTAAATACACATGCTTCCTCTTCATCAAAGTCATCAAATCTAGCAAAGCAAACAAAATGGTGTGGCGATTTAAACACTCAATATTATCAACAAACCTGAATAGAATCCAACTCCACTTTGCGCAAATCATTCTCAACTCCCTTGGTATAATCTCTAAGCTTTGTACCTTTAGATAGTATATTTGCAACTACCTACACAGATGAAAACGATAAATTGAACCATTCTCAACTAAGAACAAGCATCAGAACCTCATAAACCTACACCCAGAAACTTTATATAAACCATTATTCTAACTAACATCAACCAAGCAATTTCATCAGAATCTCACTTCATCATGTTTACATTCCTCAAGCTCTTGCTGTAGTCCTTCCAACGATATATCATCACTGCAAAAACATATAAAATTAACATTATTAGTCGCAAAATTAACTACAAACTGAAAAAAAAACGGTAGCTGCAATGTATTAACCCGTTAAGATCCTCTTCGATGGTTAAATCGCCAACGAATGCTCCCAGATCAAATGCACTGGAAGGACTCTGCGTAACACCAATTGAAATTCAAAATGTTAGTTTGAGCAAATTGTTAGTGATTCGAGAAATTTCAGTGTAACGGGAAATTGGAAAATCGACAAGTAGAGAAGGATTATGGTATGATGTATGTACCACTGAGCTTCCGTTGACATCAGTCATCTTGATTATGAGGAAATAGTTCGCTGGTTTCTTTGATTTCGATCAACTTTGGAAAAAAAATAACATGTGATGTGAAGAAGAAGCGTGTGTGAGGAAGATCAAGGAGAGACTAATGCAGTGATCGCCATTGACATGAGATTTGGGAGACACGTCGCGCCTGAGATCTACCTGCCTGGAGATGATCTGGACAGTGATATTGGGCTTACATCGGAATGGGCCTTTTCTTAAGATAGAAAGAACATGATGATTTAACTTACCAACTCAAAATTAAACCTAGCACCCCATTTTTTCTTAATAATAGAAATACCCCTAGTAAAAGAAATAACAACATTTTCTATACCATGTTAGCAATGTTTGGTATTGACAAAGTTTCTGGCAGTTCATTTGAAATTTTTGATAAATTATAATTTTTTTTGAAAATTTCAAAATTTATCATTTTGTACTGAAAATTTAGTTGAATGGTGAAATTCTCGGTAGTGTATTGACTAAAAAAAATTTAACAGTTAGGATTTTATCGACAGTTTTGTAGAGTTGTGATTTCACTGACAATTTTGTGTGGTCTATAATGAATAAGTTGTATAAATAGGGACATATATTATAAAGAAAGACATCTAAAAAATGTCTCTTCCTTAATTTCTGATTAAGTCAGAAGTGTATTTCAACAGAGACAATCCTCACGTTAAGTTTAAGCTTCTGAATGGTGCAACATCTCTCGCCAACTTGAAAGACGAGTTGAATGAATTATTGTCTGATACCGATAACAGAAGGGTGAGAAAGATCGAGTTTCGTGAAGATTTGATTGATAGTAATGGAAGAGTGAAATACAATCTGATTGAGTTGAAGACCGATGAAGATGTGATGGTCATGTGGAAATCATTTTGTCGTAAGATAACTAAGGTTTTCAAGATGTGAAGGCCGATGAAGATGTGACAACTTGATTGATGTGCAAATTTCAAGATTTATGGACGACATAATCAAGATGAAGAAACATCCAGAATCCTCTAGTAGTACTTAGGTTTTCAAGTTTCGTTATTTTTAATTTATGTTTACTATACTATTTTATGTCATGTTCATGTTCGAATTGAAACATGTAATCGCCAAAATATTATGCAATAAAAGGTACTGTGATAAGTAGTCTGAGTCACAAAATATACAAAAAAAAATACAACGATCAAATCAAAAATCTAAATAGCCCCCCACAGGCTATGTGTATTAGCCGAGATAATCCTGTAAAAATCCCACCATCTGGATTTACCAAATTTATGAAGTTATCCATAATAGCAACGATCAACTAGAGGTATTCCTTGTCATTCTACCTAGTGGAGGTGGTTGTGGTTACAGTGCGTCGTCAGCTTGTACCTCAGCCTAAAAAACCTCAGCATCGGAAGACCCTATAATAGGTGGTATAAAGCGATGATATGATATAGTGAGATACCTCTCCAAGTAATCATACCTACATTGTGTGGGGTGTTGAACCCTGACTGCGCTAGCCTTAATGGCACGGACAGAGTTTATGATGTTACTCTAAAACCATTTGTCAATACCCCCATCTGGAGCTTTCAGAACTGATCGAGGGATGCCATGGACATATTCATATTGTCACAAACACCTCTCAGGTAAGTGTCTAGCCACTGAGGTCTCTCACCTCATATGAACTGAATATAAGGAAGTGTCGTCAAATGCACGATGAGTTCGGCAAGTTGTGTATGATATACAAACGGCATCATCTACTGTTAAAGCATCAAACTTTCTCATGTACTCCATAACACCACCATGAACCGTTTTCCTGGACTTCCATTTCCTCGTTTGTAGAGCGTTTATTGGGGCATGTTAGACTCTCATATCACAAATGTGGGGGAAATGCTCGTATATCCAACACTAGAGAAATAAAAACTAATTAATGTCACATATAACAATTAAATAAAACACTAAAAATGATCATATACCTAGAATAAACTCAAATAACCAGCAGGTTGTATAGTCTTAAGCACAGTCGCAACTCTAAGTGTCGTATAAAGCATGGTCAACGCAGATACTCCCCAAGCCCAGCATAGAGCCTTTAGGCTACTGAACAACCACGGGTATCGAACATTAATATAAACACTTAATTTATCTGCAAAGAGAATACATGTCATACCTCTTTGCCTCCACAAGCTCGTGGTACCTATCTTGCAACCAAGACATCCAAAGGCAAAGTCCCATGTTAAAATTAAACTCTTCTAGCACGGCCCTCTTAGTGACTCACAGATCCTCTACAACTTGTAGAAATGATGTCGTCTGGTTAATGACAGAAGTTGTAAAGAATATTTTGATAATGGGGATATGAAATAACGATGAGACATAATCCAAAGTGATAGTCATCTCCCCAAATAGAAGATGAAAGAAAGATGTCTCCTTATGCCACCGCTCAGTAAAAATAGACAGGATTGAAGCGCCGAGCATGGTCATTGAGCAGTCTGCGAACTCCAAAAGACTAAAATCATAAACAATATGCCTGACCTGCTCAAGCATCAGACTCAGTGGGAAGTTCTTCAACTTCGAGATGTGGGATATGACCTTCAACATCGAACGTTCCTGTAGGAAACAATGTTAAAAAAATTATCAATAAACTTTCAACACATCACTGAACCACAATAAATATTTTGCGATTAAAAATATAACATACATACTTATTCCTGTCATACTATGTATGCGACATGGTCAGCATAATCTGTCAGCACAAATCGGTCACTAGGTCATCCCAGAAAGGCTATATCTATATGAATGTATGGCTTTATAGAAGCATGAGTTGTAATGTTTGTATCAGTAGGAGTATCATCATCGACAATATGAGATATGTGAGACAACTCATCGACATCGGGAACCTACTCAGTTGACAGACGAACCTCTTTAACAATAACCTCCTCAAGAGGTACTTAATCAGTAATAGGTACATGTAGCTCCACGGTAGCAAATACCTCAACAGTCGTAGAAACTCTAACAGCTCGGTGTCGAGTGCACAAAACTAGTCATACATCTACTCATCCATTTGTTTTTGATGGTCAGAGTAACTCGTCAAGCGCGTAGCTGGAAAGCCTCTGCCTTAACAACCCTGACCCAAGCTTCTTCTCTATCAGTTAACCTGTCTCTCATGGACTCGTCCTTCCCCCTGGTCCTCACTGGAAAAAATGGAAAAACGACAAAAAAAATTAGTGAAAGAATAAGGTACTGGAAATTTTAAATTTTCTGTAATATTTCAAAAAAATTGAACTACCGAAAATTTTGGATGTAGGTTTGGGCGCTCGAGAGCTGATGTTTGGCAGTATTGCTTATTATAAGTTGGAGTGGATGCACAAGTTATTCATGCGTCATCAATCTATTTCTATATTGGATAGTGTTATCAGATCTTATATGATGATGCTGGTTGGTTGCACAATTTTGTCCAACGAGACTTTTATGCTCGTCGAGACATAATATTTATTACTATTTTAAGGATTTTGATGGATGTGGAAGACATATTTAAGGAGCATTTACATTGGTCACACTCTATATATATCTCAGATATGTTTTCATGTTTACTTGCAAAACAGCTTGGTGAATATGCTACTTTGTTACATGTATTTTTATTTTATTTTATTAATAGTATTAATTTTGTAACAGTACTGGATTCATGGGTATTTTTAACTATTTGAAGAAGATGAGAGAATTGGAAAGTAACTGGTGGTTAATGACTTTCTTTATCTATGAGATGATCGTATAATCAAGGAGCATGGAAGGTGGATGAGTTGAGACATATATTGAACGAGCTGACGCCTATTGATGTCATATGGCGCCCATTCGAGGATCATAGAGTGGCACGTCCATTTGAAGATATATGTTTGTATACGGGGAGTCTGAAGTGGGGTGACATAATTGTTCCATACATGCCTAACATATGTCTACATTAGTTTAGATTAAGGCAATGTGTTCCACTCTCACCTCCTAATTATATTATGCATGATATTGACGTTGAGTGGATTATTTACCATACCAACAACTTTGTTGTGATATGTTCGACAGAGGTAGTTACCACTTCATATGATACATATGATGGATAATTTGAGTGGTATTATCGTGTTTCACATCCTTAGTTGGTACCACCCTGTCAAGATGAGCATATAAAGGTGTTAGTTTCTATTTATGACGCAGGACCATCTGATCTGAGTTGAGCTCGTGTTTCTATCTTGCTTCATTGTCACCTCTAGTAATTTTGTACTAAGGAGGAAAAATTGTATTTCTTGAATTATTTGAAGCATATAACATTTTTCGTAGTAGTTTATTTATGTTTCTACTTTGCATATGTATTAACTTGATACTTATCTTTTAATTTATCACTTATGTGTTAACTTGAGACATATGCATTAAAACTCAATGACATAGTTTAAAATCTGCTCCATGTTATATATGTTTTGCAAATCCTAACATCCAAGATGTTGCTATTGGGGAACAAAACTTCTTCCAATTCAATGTGACTTCTGGCAAAAAAAACTCTTCTTTCATATTTACCTGATTAGAAAAACAACACAAACATTAATAAAGTAAGTCATAAATTTAAAAAACAGAAATAAAGTAACTACCTGAACCCAATGATTTTAGTTTATTAAACTAATGCAATAAATGAATATGTTTGGTGAATGTGACTTCCACATTTTTAGTGGCATTTTGTGTTCAGTATCCTTACATTTCCCATATTTATGACAACCAATTATCACTTTGTTGCTTCTTACTCTCTTGCATTTTAGGGTATGTGAACGAGTGATGATAACAATTATTTTATTTCTAATTCCAACCTCTTTAATCCACCTTATCATCTCTACTAGGTATCGAACTTGTGTGTAGTTAAGAATGCATCAGAGGTATATACGCATATTTGATTTTTATCGCTTATCTATAAAGGAATTTCCACAACTACAACATAAAAAAAGAAGTCAAAACATTTAGCTAAATAACTACGAACAACTTACCATTAAGTTTTTTGATAA